TGTACCAAGAAAACTAAAGTCAGAAAGACAGCAATAAGAAAACAAAAAACAACCAAGTATATGGCTAACTTAATGGTAGGGACAAGTCTGGAAATATTGATAGTAATGTTGACTGTTAATGGATTAAATTCTCCAGTCTCTTGAAACCCTCCATCTGCTGCCTACAAGAAATCCATTTCATGGATAAAGACATACATAAACTAAAAGTAAAGGGCTGGAGAAAGGTATTCCATGCAAATGAAAACCAAAAAAAGAACAGGAGTCGTATACTGATTTCGGACAAAATAGGCTTTAAGACAAAAACCATAAGAAGGGACAAAGAAGGGTATTATATAGTAGTAAAAGAACTAATCCACCAAGAATATATAACACTTATAAATATCTATGCACCCAACTCAGGGGCACTCAAATATGTAAAGGAAAGACTGCTAGATATTAAAGAAGAGATAGACTCTAACACAATAATTGTTGGAGATCTCAACACCCCATTGACACCTTCAGACAGGTCAATGAGAAAAAAATAAGCAACAAGATTCTAGACTTAAATGATACCACAAATCAGATGGACTTGATAGACATCTATAGAACTTTCCACCCAAAAACACAAAATGTAAATTTTTATCAGCTCCACATGGTACTTTCTCGATGACTGACCACATGAAAGGGCACAAGACCAGCCTTTACAGATTCAACGGCATAGAAACTATATCCAGCATCTTCTCCAACCATGGTGGAATTAAATTTGATATTAATCTCAGGGAAAACCTTTGAAAATACACAAATACACGAAAATTGAATAACCTACTTCTGAATGACTTCATGACTACTGAAGAAATTAAGACTGAAATCAAAAGAGTCATGGAAACAAATGATAATGAGTACACAAGTTTCCATAATTTATGGAACACTGCAAAAGCAGTCATAAGAGGAAATTCTATAGCAATTAGTGTGCAGAAGAAAAAAATGGAAAGGTGGAGAAAGGACAACATCATACCTCAGGAAATTGGAAAAAGAACACCAAAAAAATCCCAAAAATGCCAGGAGAAAATAAATAATAAAGATTCAAGCAGAAATAAATGAAACAGAAAATAAATGGACTATACAGAAAATAAATGAGAACAAAAGCTGGTTCTTTGAAAAGATAAACAAGAGTGACACTCCATTAGCCAGACTAATTAAGAAGAAGAGAGAAAGTAACCAGATACATAAAATTCACAACAAATCAGGCAGCATTACAACAGAAATAACAGAAATACAAAACATCATTAGAGGATATTATGACTATAGAGAAACAAAAAAGAAAACCCAGATGAAATGGACAAATTCATGGACACATATCATCTACCAAAATTAATTCAGGAGGACAAAGAAAGGCTGAATAGACCTATAACAAGCAATGAAATCAATTAAGTAATAAATGACCTCACAACAAAGAAAAGTCCAGGTCCCAATGGCTTCACTGCTGAATTTTACAAAACTTTTAAAGGAAAGATAACCCCCATTCTACTCATACTGTTTCTAGAGATCCAAAAGGAAGGAACTCTTCCAAATTAATTCTATAAAGCCTCCATTACCCTCATTCCCAAAATGGATAAAGATATGACAAAAAAGGAAAACCACAGACCTATATCTCTGATGAATATAGATCCAAAAATTCTCAATAAGATACTTGCTAACTGTATTTAACAGCATATAAAAACATTTATTTATCATGACCAGGTAGGCTTTATTCCAGGAATGCAAGGGTGGTTTGACATACACAAAACCATAAATGTAATACACCATATTAACAGAAAGAAAGACAAAAACCATGTGATCATTTCAACTGATGAGGAAAAAGCATTTGACAAAATACAACATTATTCATGATTAAAATTCTCAAGAAAATTGGCATAGAAGGATTGTTTCTCAGCTTAATAAAAGCCATCTATGAAAAACTTATAGCTAACATTATACCGAATGGGAATAAGCTGAAAGCTTTTCCACTAAAAACTGGTACAAGATAAGGCTGCTCACTTTCTCCGCTCCTATTCAATATAGTACTGGAAGTCCTAGCCAATGCAATCAGACAAGAGAAGGAATCAAAAGGCATTC